TGGAAAGAGGAGACAATGTTGATGGGTTGGAAAAAAGGGTGGGAGAGTTGTGGAGGAAGAAAGGGAGGGGGGACTGCGGGAAGGAGAAGACAAGGTTGTGAGGAAGATAGAGCTCCTGAGTTGAGGGAAAAAGGGTAATGAAATAGGGAGAGAAGGAAGGAGAAGGGAGAAAGGCTGCAGGGAGGAAGAGGGGAAGTTGCAGGGAAGAGAGAGAGAGATTGTGGAAAGGGAAGGGACTACCAGAAAGATAAAGGGACTGCCAGAGAAGAAAGGAGAAGAGAAGTTACAACTCAGTGTTACTTCATTATTTTTAATTATTTTTTAAATTAAAAATGCAAATTAGATTAAATAAATATCGTTAATACCATCTCAATGCCATGTAGGATGTTTCTATTAGGTTATGTAACAGAACTAACAGAGAGAACTAACATGAGAAAAAAATAATATTTTGAGGACAAAAATGAATAAAAAAAGTTAGAGGACAAAAGTAAATTTCACCCTAAGATTAGAAGATGAAAAGTGTAATTTTGCCTTTTTTTGTTAACTTTATAATCTAAAACTTCAATGAATAATAACTACTTTAACCTAACCTTTGTTCCTTCCGTCTTAAGGTTTCACATTTTTTTACTCTATTTAAAGTCTTTTCTCTTAATCTTAATTTTTTTTTGTTCTTTCGATATTCTCTTTTGTTGCAGAATTTATCAATTAACAAGATTTTTTTAAATATCATTCATACAAAATAAAATATCATTCTCATGATTAATCATATATGCAAAGGAAGTATTGTTGGATGTGCCCATCTTCTCTTTCAAGCTTTACAATCCTTCCTTAATTTTGAGCATTTAATTTGCAAGTAACCTAACTCTACAATAAAAACACTTGATTATTTATATCTCATGTAAAAAATCTTCAACCAAATTAATCACCTATCTTTTTTTTCCCCTCACTCAACACCTATTTTTTCTAGTATTAAAAAATCTTTGAAAGATTCATCAGTGCTTATCATCCATGAACTCTCATTCAACAATTTGATAACCTCATCTAGTTTTATTGTATTCCTCCTAGCTATATTATTGATAGCACTAGTGGTTTATTGAAAATGGATAATACAACTAACAAAAGTAATTATTGCTCTTCATTTTCTATAGTTTGGTATAGCCTATGTTCTATTAATTACTTCCATTTTTCATCTTTAGTGACTATAAGTCTGTTTTCCTTATCAATTGATTGACTAACGTTTTTAATTTAAATTACCTTTTAATTAGTCTATCAATTTATTTGGTGATTTTTCTTTTAACATATTCACTTAAATTTGTGATTATGTGTTAATCGAATTATGCTCACTACTTTCTTTTAGATTGTATTCTATATTCTAAGTCTTCATCATACTTAAATTATTTTCTTCCAATGCACAATGAAAACTCTATTGGATTGGTTAGTCTTAAATGTATATTGGCATAAGGTTTAACTCATCCTTCCATCAAATAAAGGAACCTTCATATGTGATGCAGTCATGATATCTTAAATATAAAATAAAAGAAACAAAAATTCAAAGCAAAAAATAATGTTGCCTTATTAATTGTTTCTTCTTATTCTTAGGTTTGAACTTCACTCTAATACTAATTGTTTAATAAGAGAGAAATTCTTTTGCTACTTTTGTCTTTAGAAGTATCCACACATAAAACAAGAAAAAAAATAAATGTTTCCAAAAAAGTTTGGTTGACTTTTTACTAGATTGAGAGATCAATTTTAAAGAATGTTAGTTATAAGTTTTGAAAAGACAAAGAGAGTTTTGTCATAAATGCTTCAAATACATGGCGATTTATATAGAAAAAAAAATTAACAAAATGAGATTTTTTTTACGTGAACTTTGAGAATAATATATATTTTTAAAAATTTTCTTTATTTTATTTTATAAGAAAGCTAAAAATTAATGAAAAAAGTTAAATTTATTTCATTATTTTTATATTTTTTTAAACTAATGATTCAATCAAGGTAAAATCTATGTTCCTTGCAATTTGAGGAGGCATACGAAGTCGTTATTCTGTGTATCATGAGTAATTTTATATTTTAAGGTTTAATAGATATTTATTTTTGTTCATTAATTATTTAGAGTTGATAGATGAAGAAATTTTAGAGAAAAATTACTAAATTAGGATGTAAATCCCTACCACAATTTTGTTGTAGGAATGAGACAACAAAAATTCCACCTTTAATATAAAACCTTGTGCTCTTTCATTACATATAATGACAGGAAATACAAATTGAATCAAGTTGATGCTGCACTTCTTTGTTATATACTTGACTTGAACGTGCATGAGAAAAATGATCATTGGAGTTAAAGACAAATGCATTAATTAATGGTAATCAATTTTCAATTGACAAATTATATTAATTTCTATAAAAAAAACAACGTTCTATAACAATTTATACAGCATAAAATGACAAAATAAATCATAACTCTGTATTTTCACTACGTAAATTAAGTAGTTGGTCTTCTACTATTCCGATTGCCTAAGGTCAAATGTTTCTTAGACATACATTAACTACACGTTGAATTTTTTATATGGAACTCGTTTCATATAGATGAAGGAGCACTGAATCTATAATATAAACGATGAGAGCATTGGTAAACTCTTTTTCAATCATTGTTCTTCGTATTGGCGTAGTTCATGAGAAGACGATGACTATACAATCTTGGGGTTGGGGGTCTTTGTTTTGATTTTTTTTTAATATTTTATATTTTTATTATTTTAATCATTTCACAAATAATTAAATTGAAAAAAAAGGCAATTTAGCAAATAAAACTAAAGATTCATTGAGGTTAAAGGATTGAGATTTGTTGATTGATAAATGATTAGATGTTTGAAAGAGAAAAAGAAGTAGAGAAGAAATAAATAGAAGGGTGAGAAGATAAAGTTAAGAAGTGTGGAAATGAAAGGGAAAAGAATAAAAAAGATCTTCTATTTGTTTGAATAAATGAAAATAAAAGATGAAAAGAGATCAATTATATTAAAAATTATTAAAAATCTTGAAAATTGTGTTTTAATAAATAAAAATTTTAGTATGATATTTTTATATTGTATACGAATTATTTAACAATAATTATTAAATAACAAAAAATAAAAAAATTCTAATGTTGCCCCTCCTACACTTAGTTGCTAACCGTTTCATTTCACAGCACATTAGGACAAAAAAGTATTTTAGTGAGTCTCGCACAAAATAGTCAATTTTAATTAGTTTTTACTCTCTAAACAAATAAATAAAGGTAGTGAAGTAAAATTAGCCTTTTTCATTTTTATTATTATTTTAATTTCCTCTATTTTACTTATGATAAACACGGTGTGCATAGATTGTCCAATAAAATAGTTCATTCAATTTAAAAATTAATTAAGATAAATTCAACATTCAAGTGTCTATTTACAAATAAGGTAATGCTTGGTGTGGTTATATATATTTTACCTAAAAGTAAAATCGAATGTGTTAGATGAATAGTCTTAATTAAAGTTTAAAACTTACTTTTGTTAATGTAGCATGAAAGTAGTTAAAATTAAAATACTAAAAATTATATTTTAACATGATTCTATCATATGTAATTATAGACAAATTGTAATAAGGTTTTTTTTTTTTTTTATGTTTAAGAATGAAGGACAAATTTATAATATAAATACGAATAAACAATATAAGTAATAACAAATAATATAAATATAATAACTTCTTATACTTTAAATTTAAATATTTCCATTTGATCATAGATTTGCCTAGACTAAACTTTAATGTTTTAAAAATTAACAATTTTTTTATATATTTAAATAGGTTAAGATAAGATTTCGGCCACTGATTTGCTCAGAAGTTTAAATTCATTTAATGGTATGTGTATTGTATAAATTTTGAAATGTAAATTATAAGATTTCTCTTAACACTTGAAATTAAAATTGTAATTTAGAACTACCATTTTAGTTTCAAATTTATATGTTTATGTTTGATAAAGAATTATAATGTATTTTCAAGCTGAAATTTAATTTTTATTGTTATTTTAATCAGCGGAAATTATAATATAGCTATTAGACGGTTATACTGTATTAATTAGTTTGATCACCACATGAAATTCTGCATATGTATTGCATTTGGTATTTTTATTTGGAATAAATTAGCGAAATAATAGAATTCATATATGGGTGCTATCAGCGATTTCCAATCTTCAAGCAGTCATAATTATAAGTGACGACGACAATCAACATGGTGGGGCATAATTTGAGATAATAATAATAATAATAATAATAATAATAATAATAATAATAAAGTAGTAAAGAAAAGAAGAGTAGTCACACGATATGACAGTGAAGAAAAAATATAATTTAAAAGATTGAAGTTAAGAATTGAGAAGAATTTGGTTTTAGTAGTCTACTTATAATATAAATGTGTTTATTTGACGTAATTAGAGTTACTTGGTAAACGTTATACTTTTACTCGCTTGGAACATCCTTCAAAACACTGTTTTATGCAGTGTTTTAAGCTTATAATTTTATAACAACTTTTTTTATTACCTCATTAGAATTTCTGTTTTATCTTATACATTTACAAACCTTCGAGGTATTTTTTTTATTCTCATCATATAATATTTATTTATAGCATATTATAAGTCTTAAAACAAATAATTCCATCTAATTTGACATGGGAGGGGCTGGAAAAGAAATGTCGAGAAGAAAAGTGGTGTGTGTGATAAGATGTAGTCCCAAAATCCAAAAAGAAAAAAGAATGCACTGTTTGCTGGAATTTTCTTAGACTTGCAGGAAACTCACCGAGGCTTTTAGATGAGGAGGAGGCAAAAAAGGTTAAAAAGTGAAAATCCGGAAAGCATAGAGAGCACAGCACGGCACCTTATTATTAAGCTTAAAAAAAAGGAAGAAAAGAAAGAGATCCTGGAAATGGGAATGACCGGCTTTGCTTTGTCCACCACACCAAAACCCTAACCTCAGATCATCCTATCAAAATCCCTCCTTTATTAAACAAACAAAATCAAAACCCCAAACCCCCTCCCTCTGTTTCTCCCCTTTTCCCACTCACACTAACCCCACTCTTTCTCTCTCTCTCCCCCCAACAGTGCTATCTGTCGCCTTCAATTGCGACTTTCCACCACTAACCCCCCCCCCCCCCTCTCTCTCTCTCTCTCTCTCTCTCTATTGCCTTCGTATATAAAAAATTAGGGCTTTTGGGAATGAATCAAATTGGTGGGACAAAGGACCCTGAGGGCGAGCCCGTGGCTCAGTCTGTGCCCCTACATCAAGACCCTCCCAAGGGTTCCGAGAAGACCGATTCCGCCGCGGTCAACGCCCAAGACCAAGAATTCGTTGTAGACGAGAATCCACAGCAGGAACATTATCCAATGGAGGAAGATTCCGTCACCCCTGCCACCGTTTTTTCCATCAGGCTTAAGCAGCCAAGGTCCAATTTGCTGCACAAGATGAGCGTTCCTGAACTTTGTCGTAATTTTAGGTATGTGCACTCTCCACTGAACATAATGAACGTGTTCATGTTCCTTCTGATTATGTTGTCATCCTTATGCCGATGGGCATATTATGTTGCAGTAATTCATAGCGAGTTTTTCAGAGTGAAATTTAGATTCTGACAGTGACTGGCTTATTCTGGTCTTGCAATGACTTTCTGTAAAGTGAATTTGTTTGTGTTCTATTTCAGGCCTTCTATGGTATAATAATTCTGGTACCTCGCACAGTTTTTTTGATATTGCTTGTTTTTTATGCAGTGCTGTTTCCTGGTGTGGAAAACTGAATGCTATAGCTTGTGCAGCAGAAACATGTGCCAGAATCCCAAGGTTTTTGCTTTTGTTTTGGTTTTGTTCCTGCCTGGAAATTTTGGACCATGCTCTATATGTTTCATTAAGAACAAGACGTACTGACTTAGTTTAGTTGATGAGCATCTCAAACTTCCTAACTTGCTTTTTCTGTTTTCCTATCTATGTTGATAGTTGAGACCTAAATGAAGTACTGAGAGGAGATATTCTAACTCCTTTCGTATACTTGTCAGTGTCTTTGAACTTGTATCATTAATTGGCTTGCATACTATTTTTTCTGCTATTTGCCAGTTGTTTTATTTGTTGGCTTGGCTGATGAATTTGGCAATGAAACTTTATATGGTTCAACTTTTGGACATCAGATGTTGAGAAATATAATTGATGTCTACGTTAACAGATATAACATGCTTGGTGGTGGTTAGAAGGCAACTCATTGTTATGCACATTCTGAAGTCCTTTTGTACTTTGAAAACAGCTTTCTAACGAAATTTTGGAACCCTTAAAAGGAAGATTAAAAACTTGATGAACTTGACATACGAGAAATGTTGGAATTGTAGGGAAGTAGAAAAAAGAGAATATGTTTTATTAGAAGAACTCTTAATAAATGCGATGCTAAGATGTAAAACCTTAACCCTAATGCTCCTATTTATATTTATACTAACATTAGGTTGAATACAGGTGTTGTACAGCTAGAACGAGCCCAGATCAATAACAATCCTAACATAAATATACTCGTGAATGCAATAAAAAATCTAGAATTCTAACACTACCTTATCAAAATAAGATGCCAAAATATAGTAGGCTTCACAAATCACAGCTTTTTATGAACTTTAAAAATAGAAGAAAACATGCTTTAAAGAGACAATAGGAGATACCATTGTTGTCAAAATTGCAATCATTCTCGCTGGATTGCTCAGAGTGAAATCACCAATCATGCTTGAAGGATTGTAGAATCTGCCATGTTTCCTGATCTGGATGTGTTTGTTGCAACTGAGCTCGCCAACAACCCTTTTAGCAAAAATCCCACAAATCCGCACCCCAAATTAACCCTAATCTCTCCCACCTTCTCATTCCTTCACTTGGTGCTATCTCTCTGTTCTCTCCCCCCCCCCGGTTTTTATTTTGCAGAGAGAAGTTCAAAGCTTCTGCCTTAGAACTTCTGTTTCTGTGTTCTGCTTCCATTCACTATCTCCTGCCTCCACACAGTCTTCTCTGTTTTTGCCTTTGAAGTTTCTGACTTGACGATTTTGCAAGCCTCCAAGTTTCTGGTCTGTGTTGGTGTGTTAGAGCATCTCTGTCTTCTTTTAGGTTGTTGGAGTTCTGCTGGGGCTGGCTGAAGAGAAGTAATTGGGCCTTAATTTAGATACAAGACCTTTGGACTAATTTTTATCTGCTGATCTCTTTCTAATTCTTTTATTCCCCTTTTTATAAGTAGTATCAAATATAAAATAGACTGAAATACAGAAAATACATGAAATAGTTAATTATGTTATCATATTTTTATGTTTAGATATGCTTTTAGTTTTGGGTAAGATCTTAACAATGTGTTAAAATCACACAATTTACAATCTCTCACGGTTTCACCCCTCTTCCAATATTAGGTAAAATTTTGATTTTGACAACATTGAGGGAGATTACACAATGTATTAGTGGTTGGAATGATAAATACATAGCCAAACAAAGCAGAACTACGTGAAAGAGTCACACCGGGAAAGGAATTGGGTTGCCTGAAGGAAATGAGCATGACCAATGTAAGAGATACACCATTTTGAAAACAGGAATACAAAGTCACCAATAGAAATTTATGCATGGTGTGAAATTGACATTTCTGGTTTGCGAATACAGAAAAGTCCAAAAAAGTACTGAACAACTTCTCCTAATTTCCCAAAAACGTAATTCAGAAGCTTTCGTGCTTCACACTGCAAAAAAGAACTTTAAAATTAAGTTTTGGAGATCTAAACCCGAAGTCTAGAAGTCTGGAATGTCATTGTCTACAACAGGCTTGAAAATGACTCACATGTTGCAGTCAACAAATCTCATGGCTTGGTTAACAATTTGAAAATGACTTGTTCATTGGCTTGGCTCATGGCTTGTATTGATAACAGCACAAATGAATTGAATGAGCTGGTGATGAGTGGCAAGGTTTCTGACTACGATCTTTCACTTGATGGTATTTGGTGATCTCCAGATGTGATGGTGATGTCTTTTTTCTGGGACTAATCAGAAAACAAGTGGAACAGTGTTAAGAATGCAAGCGAGTAAAACAAAAGTGGCTGAAAAAGTGAACACAGCCATGGAAACTAAAGCAAAGTGATTAAGAGGACAGGAAAGAACGACATCAGGTTACTTTGGATGGTGTTTCTCTTTTACCGTGTTGAGATTATAGGGATTAGATGAAAAAGAGAAAATATATTTCACTAATAGAACTAACAATTGGATAACTGTGATTTAAAATACCGACCATACACTTATCAGTAGCAACCAGGCCTTGTCCTGCTAGGTGGGTTGGTGTAACATGGATAACTATTCACTCCATTTGGTTCTATTAAAAGCCAAGCTTGGCTCCACTAAGGTGAAAAAGTTAAGGTGTACTGTTGCCTCACAGTGGGTTGAGTTTTCAAGATACTTTAATTTAAATCAACGACAAATATCCTGTTACTTTCCACTTTACTCAGATCTTAACTTTAGAAGAGCCAAATCCTTAGAAACCAATCTATTACTTCTATCCATGAATCATATTAATGTTTTAGGCCAAGTTCTAGTGTAGTACAAGAAGCAAGAAACAACAAAGCTCCTGGTACAACAATAATCTCAACTTCTAAAATGAATGTACTTTTTGGAATATTCCCCCCTCGTAACATTCTATTAGAACTCTTTCTATTATAATTATCTGGTTATTTTTCAAATTACCTATTCCATCCTTAGTCTTCCTGCAAATTACCCTCTATAAAGTTTAAATTTTGTCTATTATTCACTTTAACCATTTTAGCAATTCTTGATTTTCATTTCCAAAATTTCGATAATTATAACCTAAGTTTAATACAACTTTTCTTTTCAATGCTAGAAAGTGCTTGGTTGTGGGAAACAAAAAATACCTTCGTGTATGGTGTAAACCATGTAAATGAGAACTGATAAAAATAGTGAATTGATAGAGCTCAGTTTAAGTGGATGGTTTGCTAAAATTAAACTCCAGTGGTAATTTGCTAGAGGTTTAAACTTGAAGCCGGTGATTTGCAATTTCATCTGATTAACCTAGACTACCAACAATTAACAAAATTTTATACCTAAAAATAATTCCCATGAATGATAAAGATTGAATTAAAAACCTTGCAAGATTTAAATATTATTGAAATTAATGGAGCAAAGTGATGTTTTAAATGATTGTTGCTCCTTATTCATTAATTGTTATAAGTTATTTGACTTTTGGTTCGTGTTAAACAATGGTTATAAGAAAGTAACTGTTGTTTTGAGTAGTTTGTGATCCATGGTTTTTGCTGTGTTTGTCTTGTGTAGATTTTTCTGATTCACATCAACCTATTATGTGTATATTTTAGCCACGTGTGTATTAGACAAACCTACAGGTAAACTCAAATGACCTGAATGTATTGCAAAATTTAAACTGGCTTGTTTAAGTTCTTAACTAGCTGAATTTAATTTTGTTGAAGCCCACATTATTATTGAATGTTCCTTTTATTTTAGTTTGAAGTTTACATACTACTTTACTTCTACAAACAGGAAGTCTGCCCTGCTCATTCATGTAACTTTTGCTCATTACACTGGTCTTCTGGTGACCTATGTTTGGTTTTTTCGGCAATTTCTAATGCTTATTGTATTTCTTTTTTCCATAGTTCAACTGCTAATTCACCATTTTGGATCCCAATTCATATTGTGATTCCAGAACGGCCAACGGAGTGTGCTGTGTTCAATGTCATAGCAGGTAGTTTGATGTCATTACTTCATTTTGTGACCCTGGATGATCATTTTTTTGGTATCTTATGCCAAAGCAGGCTACAAATTGTAAAGTTTTTGATTGGTATTCTTTTTATAATTCTCCTGTGTTCGTAGTATAAAGCTTATAGGATACAAGGGTATTCCACTGCATAACTGGCATCAGCTAATAGTAACAATGTTTTGATTTAGGGCTACAAAGTTGGAGTTAAGATCTTCACTTGTACCTAAGAAGACTTCTAATTTTCAAATCTTGTAGCACTAGAATACATTAAATTCAACCAGTTGAGAGAACCTTGATATGGATAAACTTCATGAAAATCATTTGTTATGACATTTTTTACTCTATTTATTGATTTGCTGTTGGAGTAGTTATTGATGACATGTTTATATAAAGTTGTTTCACTTGAACATAATTTCCAAGGGAAATTTAACAACACCAAAAATGAACAAAACTGAAGATTTTTGTGTTGGCAGTATATGCAAATGTATCACCATCTTTCCCATTATTATTCTCCTAACTGAAACACAGAATAAAAAAGGCAGCCTAGTTTATGAGGTTACCACATCTTAACATTGTACCAAGGCTCGCCTCCTCCTTCAACCATCAGTTTTTGCATAGTGTTATTACAAATTTAGTAGGAATATTGATAGAATAAGAAAGAAGGCAAATTTAATGTGTTTGGTTCACAACTTATTTGGAGAAATTATAGCTTATTTTTACTAATGCTATGAGATATTTTGAAAAATAAGCAATTATTTCTCTAAATTAATCTATTACCAAATATGTACTGAATAGTACATTCTAGAACCCCTAAAAGGAATTTGAGGTCTTATATATAGAGGTTCTGTTTGAGTAAATTTATAGAGAAGTTCTTATAGGAGAAAAAAATTAGTATAAAAAATGAATAAAACTTTTCTCATAAATTAGAAACAATTTATGTTTTTCTATTTATTGATAAGCTCTCTCATAACTTTTCGAAAATTTGAAAAGATAAGTTGTTTATAACTTATGAGAGAAGTTTTATTCAATTTTTATGCTGGTTTTTGACTCCTGTAAGGACTTTTTAGAAGTTTACCCGAATTGGGCCATACAATAGCTGGAATAAACAAACACTTATCACATTTGTAAATTTTTCCTGGTCCTCTGTTGTGGATAGAGAAAAATGCGGGACATCTGATGGACTTTGTGTCCAAACTGCATAGGGAGCTGAATTATATACGAAAAGGATCTTAAGTATTTGAAATGACACATTTGCAAGATTTGGCTAGCCTATACCCTGGATCACAACATTATTTATCATTTTCAACATTTCTCCTGAAATTGAAGCATATAGGTCACATGCTTCAAGCTTGTTACATATGTAACTGATTTGATAACCTCGAACACTTGGTGAAAACATTCACCATTTGGTTATTAGAATAAACAAAGTGAGTGGTGATTTCTCCAAATAAGATCTCCATATCAACTTCTTCAACTTCAACAATATCATCATGGAGAAAAAATTCTTGATATTTAGTTGATGTAAGGTCAGCGGCAAATGGTAGCCATAGATTAAAAAAAAAGTGAACAAAACCATTTTTGCTACAGGTTCAGTGTCTCGATAATCCATGTCAATAATATATGTATAAACTTTGGTGACCAAATGAGCCTTAAGATGATCAAGTTGATTGTTAGGACTGTCCTTAGCTTTGAAGATCATTGACCACTTACCAGTAAGACTTCCTAGGAAGAGAAACAAGGTCCAAGTTCTATTGTTCCTCAAGTGTTTTTCAACAAACACAGGTTGCTTGCCTCTATCCACAATGTGAAAAAATGCTATTTGGTTTTCTTTCGAGATATTATTTATTAATCCATTTTGATAATTTCTCCTATGTTCTTTGCTAAAAAATTAGAATATGAATTATGGAAAAAAATTAGTATCGGAGGGCAATGGGTTCACCCAGTATACATTGGTGAGGTTTGTCTCTGTTCATGCTCTACATATCATGCTTAGGATTGTGAAAACCAAGGGACATTTTGATGAATTCTGTGTAACTAAACTACACATTGGTCACTGGACCAAAATCATATAGAATAAAAATAATAAATTCTAGAGAACTCAAATTTAGGAATTATTGTAGTCACATGGTTTGGTTATCTAGACAATGAATGGAGATATCATTTACATTCTGTTCTACACCAAATATTATAATAGTTTCCTTGAGACATTATGTTACCATTTGGATTTCTTTTTTCATTATGAGCTTTCCTTTTCCCAACTGAACAATTTTGTTTTTGTTCTTTTTGGAAGTTTAATTATTTGTATTCTGCAGATTCTCCTCGTGATTCTGTCCAGTTTCTTGAATGGTCCCCTACCTCTTGTCCTCGTGCATTATTGATTGCAAATTTCCATGGGAGGGTAACAATTTGGACGCAACCTGCTCAAGTAAGTGTGGTTTATCAATCTCATTCCTAGGGCTTCTGAATTATTTGCTACTATCGTTGTATTGCATATTCTTGGGGATTTGCTTCTTCTTAAGCGAGAAGGGGTGCATTCACTATTGAGTTGAAGTGGGTTAAGTTTACAAGGTATTCTAATTCAAATCAATGGTGGATATGCCTTTTCTTACTCTCTTTAGAGGAGCTTAATTATTTTTTTGGACATCTTTTTAGTATACTTATGACTTATCCTTTGCCCAGGTCTATCCTTTCTTGGCTTCTGTATTGCACATATTTGCTTGTGTTGTAGGTTTGTTTCTTTAATGTAGTTTTCCCATTCAGGGGCCAGCTAATCTTGTCCGTGACACTAGCTGTTGGCAGCGTGAACATGAGTGGCGGCAAGATATTGCAGTTGTTACAAAGTGGCTATCAGGGGTGTCTCCGGTATGACATTGGCTAGTCATCTACTGATATGTTCAAATTCTTTGTACATTTCATTCAGTCTTTTATTTGTCTAATTTTTTCTTTTGAATTTATGTGGTTATGTAAATAAGAGGGATACTCTGTTTCTCTCTGTCTCTCTCTCGCTCCCCTGGTTTGATAATTTTCAAACATAGTCTTGCGAAGTTGCAATGATTGAACCTCTGGGCAAGTAGTTCAGGGTTCATATATTATCATTTTTGAATAAGATAGACCATAGTTTCGAATTGTAACATGGATCCTTTTTTCTGCAAAAAGAGATTAAAACATGGCTTGACAGACTGTTAGAACCCAAATCTATTCCTTGTATTACTGGTTGCTCCATTTTTAAGCTGAATCAAATCCTTTGTGAATTAATAGTATAGGTGGCTTTCATCCAAATCGAGTGCTCCTGCCAATTCAAAGTCAACCTTTGAGGAAAAGTTTCTTTCACAGCAATCTCAAACTTCAGGTCAATTATTCTGTACATTCTTTTTGATTGCCGGTTTTTTTTTCTTGATTACATTGGAACTCTGGCCATATTGGTTGGGGGGATATTTTCCCTGTTGGATGGTTGAACCTCTGACATCTCTTAGGCTGCTGCCAATTGGTCTACCTGCTCGTTTGCTGTGATTGACTGCATTTTTTTCTTCTTTTCCACGTTAGTCTTGTTAATTGTCAGTGTTAAGATGTATGTTTGGAAGTACCACTTTTGTATTGCTTTTGACCTTTTGCAGATAATTTTTCCTTGTTATAGTGACAAACTAGGTGAACCCATCAGCGAAGTTTTTTCCTTGCTTTTGTTCTTCACTCTTTTCTCTCTGTGTTGTTATTGTTTTAATTATCTGAAATGACATAAGCTTCAATTAGCAATATTTTTGTTTTATTGTTTTGTTGACAACAATATTTCCATGTATTATTTGAAATTCAGATTAGTTTCATTTAGAATTATTTTGTTGATTAATTTCTTTAGGTAGTTGGAGCTAAAGGTTCTTTCTGGTAGGGGAGAGGGATGGGTGATTTGGTGGATGATCAAACTTCCTGTAATCTTTCTCACCCTCCATGATCTGGATTGCACAAAAGATCGGACCCTTCCAGGATCATGATCATTTCCATTAAGATCATGTGACCTTTAATCTGATCCAATCTTGGTGTTTGGGTCAGATATAATGACCCAATTAAAAAACCCATTTTTCATTAGCTTTTTGGACCCGCGTACACTATTGGAACCCTATCACATGCACGGCGACCTCTTCCTTTCTCTTCATGTTTGTGCTTTTGCGTGAGTGACGTCTTCTTTGTCTTTGTGCTTCTGTGTGGGTGGTATGAGTTCTCTGGACGTGGGTGGTTTGCGGTTCTCTGGGGTTGGGTGTTCTCTGGTCAACTAAGCCAGAAACTTTATTTTCTTCCCATTAATATAAGCCATTAATCGGGTGAAAATATATTGATTATTAAATCTTGTTTAAATAAATAATTTTTTAGAATAATATATATTTTTAGATGTTATATATATATATAGTAGAATCTTGCAATTTATTTTTTGATTCTATGATTTTTGATCTTTAACCCCATCCCCCGATCATAGATAAGATCCTGATCTTTGGTCACTACGTTATCTTTACCCAAGGCTTGAATACTTGAGTTGGTGCCAATTGTGTTACAAGTTCATTGACATTTTTTGTTTTAATTATTCAACCATCTGCGATCGGATGATGCTAGGACAAATTATAGATGGTGATAAATGATGGGTGATGATGGCCAGTGCCATGATGGTGCCTGAAATTTCCCTTGTTTGAGTGCATATTTTTTGTAGTATTAAATAGTACAATGCTAATGTATCTGATCTATGCAGTTGTTTTTGTTTCAGCTAGATGGCCGAATTTTTTTTGTGTCTGTTCTGTGTTCTCGTCGGGCTCAGTTCAACTTCACTGGTCCCAGTGGCCTCCTAGTCAGAATGGCACAACACCCAAGTGGTTTTGCACTAGCAAAGGACTTCTGGGTTGTGGGCCCAGTGGGATTATGGCTGGTGATGCTATCATAACAGATAGTGGTGCCATGCACGTGGCAGGTGTACCAATTGTTAATCCATCTACCATTGTTGTTTGGGAGGTCACACCTGGGCCTGGAAATGGTTTCCAAGTAACTCCAAAGACAAGTACCACTTGTGGTGTTCCACCTCTTAGCCCACCCAACTGGGCTGGTTTTGCGCCTTTAGCTGCATATTTATTTAGTTGGCAAGATTATCTATTATCTGAAGCAAAGCAAGGGAAAAAACAGATAGACCAAAATGTTGGTGATGCTGTACCTCTATATTGCTCCCCAGTTTCAAATTTTTCGGCATATGTGAGTCCTGAAGCTGCAGCTCAATCTGCAGCAACCACCACATGGGGTTCTGGTGTAACAGCTGTAGCCTTTGATCCAACTCGTGCTGGTTCCGTGATTGCTGTTGTGATAGTTGAGGGTATGAAGCCTATTCTGATTTTTTTTATTTCTCAAACAAGTTTGCAAATTGTTCAGTGCTAAGGTGTGTGCCTTTATTGATATTGATTGTACCTGTTTTTATTACTGAGTCCTGATGAAGGACTTCTAAAATCGGTGAAGCTCTATTTTGTTTATTCGTGTATGTTATTTAGGGCCCATTTGTTGAACATGGTAGGATAAGAAATGATAGGATATGAGGGTTTGATAAGGATAGAATATAATAAGAGTAGGATAGACCCTTATCCTATCCTATGTTTGATGCAGTGATGCACATTAGAATTGCACTTTTCTTGTATATTTTTTGGTATGGAATCTGGGATTCATGTATGAAACCCATTTAAATAACCTTATATTTTGTTTTAAGCCATCTGTTGTCATTTAAAATGTAATTAATCTGGCATGGAACAAATTAAGTATCCCCAAGAAAAAGTCGAATATCAAATTACTGATGATGGACTGAATAAAGTGTTATCAAGTTCTCTCCTTATAGTTGTGCTTCGAAGGTTGCACTATACATCCTTGGGTAAAAGATAACATTATTACCTAGATCCACAAACACAGAAACACCCTATACATATGTTGCCTTCTTACTCCTCTTAGTTGTGACGATATTGGCTGTGATGCAAGTTTGTCAGGATTTTACACCAGAATTTCATGTGCACAGATAATTGAATTAAGACATTGATGTATAACTGATTTTTCTTACAGGACAGTACATGTCCCCTTATGATCCGGATGAAGGCCCATCAATTACAGGATGGAGAGTGCAACGCTGGGAGTCATCTTTGCAGCATGTTGTTCTCCATCCTATATTTGGGAACCCTACTTCTAGTATGGGTGGACAACCACCCATGCAAACTGTTTGGCAGTCGAAAGTGGACCTGAGCATACCTCCTACCAATGATTTCAAGAACCATCAACCACCTGCAAATGGAATGGCTGCTGATGTGCAAAGGGTATCTGAGTCTGTTTCTGATAAATCAAAAAGGGTCAATTTTGATCCATTTGATCTTCCAAGTGATGTCAGGACGCTTGCCCGAGTTGTTTACTCTGCTCATGGTGGTGAAATTGCTATTGCTTTTCTTCGAGGTGGTGTCCATGTCTTTTCTGGTCCAAATTTTTCACCTGTAGACAATTATCAGATTAATGTTGGATCTGCAATTGCTGCTCCTGCATTTTCTTCAACAAGCTGCTGTTCAGCTTCTGTTTGGCATGACTCTAGCAAAAATTGTACAATATTGAGAATAATCCGTGTTCTTCCTCCTTCTGTTCCCATTAGTCAAGTAAAGGCTAATTCGTCAACTTGGGAACGTGCAATTGCTGAAAGGTGATTTTGTTAATTGCTTTAAGTATGTGATATGTTAACTGTTTCTTAATATGCTTATAATTTTACAGCTCTTGCCAATTTTTTGCAGACTTTGACAGGTAGTAGAAGTTATGATTTTTTTGTCAATGATTTACATGGCTTTTTCCTAGTACTTACATCTGTTAGGAAAACAGGTTTTGGTGGAGCCTTTTAGTTGGAGTTGATTGGTGGGATGCTGTGGGATGCACACAGAGTGCTGCTGAGGATGGTATTGGTAAGACAGTTCTTATTATTACGTCCTTTGGCTTTTTTTGTTTTGTTCAAGTTTGTGCCAGCAAGGAGAGTTTGATTTCCTGTTTCATATTTTGTGCACTCACAGAAAGCATTTGCTAATATGATTGGTGTTAGTGCTGTAAATTGATAAGTGCTACTTTTTTTGTCCTGGTTTCAGTTTCACTTAACAGCGTTATTGCAGTTTTGGATGCGGATTTCCATTCTCTTCCTTCAGTTCAGCACAGGCAACAGTATGGTCCTGTACGTTACTGTTTACTATCACCTTTTCAGCATTTTGTCATTGGCTTTCATAGTTTACTTTGATCTGTTTGTCAACTTCATTATTATCTTTGGAGGGGTCACATTCTTTTTCGGTTAACTGTGATGGGAGGATAAATTGTTTCATATCAACTTGTGATGGAATATTTCATGGATATAAACGTAATCTGGAATTTTGGACCCAGCATAACCCCAAATTTGGATATTTCATGGATGAGAGTGTAACCTGGAAATCTGGAATCTTGTGTCAAACTTCTATTTGTATCATTAATTATAACCACTTAATGCATTGATTGTACTCACTGAATAACTTATGGATGAGAAAGTACTCAATTGATGTTGAACTTTTCATAGTTAACATTTGATCTGAGGTCAGTTCACTGCTTAAATTTGATTCATTTTTTGTATTTTTTAATTCTCCATGTCGTTTTAAGTCTGCATTTAGTTTTTCAACTTCTGGAAAAAGGCTGCTAAGGATATCTTTCCAACCAAACCTGTACCACCCTTGTACTACGTCTTTCAGATGGGAGAATTATTATTATAATCTAAACAATATTGACTTTCTTCTACTAATTTATTCTGTTTATTGTTGTATTTTCAGACTGGCATATGCCATGTGGTAAGGTTTATCCGTGTTAGTGCTTTTTTTGGTTAAATAAACTTGTTCTAAATGATTGCAGAGTCTAGACAGGATAAAGTGTAGATTATTGGAAGGATCCACTGCCCAAGAGGTCAGGGCGATGGTTCTGGATATGCAAGCTAGGTTGTTGTTGGATATGCTTGGGAAAGGAATTGAGTCTGCATTGATACATTCTTCAGCTTTGCTGCCTGAGCTCTGGCAAGCCTCAGGTGAAACATTATCCAACATAGACCCTGAATCAATGGCTGTTGAACCAGCACTAATTCCTAATATTCAGGTTTGATTTTGTTACAGTTTGGAAACTTGCTTACCTTATTTTGCTTAATCAGAAAATATAAAATGTTATTTTTTATGGTTATCTGCTCATATTCCTGCTTGCATTTCATCTTTGTTTTATTTGGTCTTGCCATGGTGTAGTTGTTAATCTTGAATAGCAATACAGAATGTTTGATCCCAAAATTGCTATAGCAAGATGGCTGATATACCACTATGTGAAAAAGAATGTATATTACTACACATATTAATGCTAAAAAATTATAGTTGCCCAAATTAAGGCTATATCATCTTTAATAATTAAAGGTCATAGCCTAGACTCAACCACTGTCAAATGTCAATATAAGGCATCCTTAACAAGTCAACAATGATGAGAAGAGACTGAAGCTGTGCCTTAGGTGCTCTGTTGGGTTAATTGTGTCTGAGATGATGCATTGCAGTGTGAAAGAGGGGTTTGAATTTAAGTATCAACAGCAAAAAGAGACATAACAGAGGACATGTCTCATGGAAAAATGAAAGAAAGAATGGAATCATGGAAGAACTGCAGCAAGAAAAGGTGGCAGACTTGGTAGTATGAACTATGTACACTCTAGAAGGAGCGGAATCATCAGTGATTATGGACATATAGTCAATCCTGGATAGTAGCACGAAGTGCCGACTCCAAAAATGCTACAGCTGATAGTGGGATGACTATTATTCTAAACATTTAAAATACACCAAATATAGATTATGCTACACATATATATGCTGAAGATTTCAAATTTCAATTGTTTGGAGGGGGTTCTTAGAAGTCAGAACAGAATAGAGAATAAAAATAGAACAAAACAGAGTGCTCTTACTGGAAAAAGCCCAACACAATGGTCTCGCTGGAAAATGTGTGGGTCTTGCTGGAAATGAAGAAGATGACTAGAACTTGGCTGAATATAGTGAACAGAGTTAGATTTTGGTTGGAAAGTAGTCCCTAACTTGAACTTGGTTGGAGGATTTTGGCCACTGTGAGGCCTGCTGGATGAAGCAGAAATTGCCAAAGATGGTGAATGGGAGCACTTAGGGTTCGAGAGTACTGAGTTCAAAAGATACAAGTACAACAACGTGCAAAAATTGACAATGTATAGAGGGAGCAAAGTCCCTAAATTGCCCCTCTCCCCACCCCAAAAGCCTTTAACGTTAAGTAAATAAGGATAAATTTGACATTTCTGTCATGCATCAAATAGCAGCTGTGTGACAGCCACAATTTTCCGCTATTTTGGCCTGATTTGCGGTGCTCCGGCTGTTACACAGAATCGCAATGATATGCACTTGGATTAGCGGCAGGGAGCTGCTTCACTCCATTTTGTTGTAATAGCGGCTGCTATTTATTACTATGGTTATGGGATGCTAGAATAGGCTGTTGGAAAAGCAAGGGATTTACTTGCCTGTTCAAGATGGAAGATACAAAGGAAGAAAGTAGTAACCTAGTTCATCCATTCTCCGAAGAATGACGGATTTTGAATCCTATTTTCATTCTGATGTGGGAGGACTTGTGGAATTTCGAAAGTTACCCTAATAATCTGGGGTAATATAAAAGAGTGGCTAAACAAAGATTTGATTGTCTGCTAACCATAGTGTCTGTGATGACGGTGGTATGTTTGATATTTGCTGAACAAAGCTGCTATTGCTGCTCCACAAAAATGTGACTTGGTGCCACTTCTGTATCATTCTCAAACTGCAATAGCATACTATTAGCTACCTGTGCAATAGTTGTACTATTTTTTTTTCCCACACTAGCATGGAGATGCTTGCATATAATTATGCGTTTCATATACGAAGATGCATGCCAACTAGCTCTGAGTCTATATATTATTAAACCCCTTTAGAATTTTTAATTTTCAATTTTGGCTTGCTTTTTTCATGAGTTGTCCTTCAAATTTATTATACACTTGATTTTGATTACTTCTACAATTTCCTGTTTCTTAATTGTTCAAGTCTTTGCAGGCTTATGTGGATTCAGTTCTTGATTTGGCTTCGCATTTTATTACTCGTTTGCGACGTTATGCAAGTTTCTGTCGCACATTGGCAAGTCATGCTGTGACTGCAGGCACTGGAAGCAACCGCAATATGGTGGCTAGTCCCACGCAAAGCTCAGCAACACCTGCAACAAGTCAAGGTCTGTCCATTGATCAAATGTTAATTTTTGGTGTTTAAATTGATTTTCAGGTGCGTTACTCCCTAGGAATTTTCTAAGTAGGTACCTATAATTTAAAAATTATGATGGGGATCCTATAGGTTCAAAACTTTCTTAATGGGGTCCTTCATCCAACCCTCAATTGAAAAAGTTTTTGAAACTATTGGGACTCATTTACAATTTTTAAGCTATGGACCTATTTAAAAAGTTCGCAAAAAATACAAGGACCTGTAGATTAATTTGACCTTTTGAGGATAAATATTTGTTATTTATAGTTTGCTTTATCTAATGACATCCCTTTATACGGAGATCCTGCTGCACTCGACCCAGGTTGTTCGCTGTTAGCCTGATGTATTGTTTACTATACATATCTAACTGAAATGAAGACAATATTTTCCAGGTGGTCAAAATGGGACCAGCAGTTCTATGGGAAGCACACAGTTGCAAACCTGGGTGCAAGGAGCTATTGCCAAGATTAGTAACACAGCTGATGGAGGGTCCAATCCAACTCCTAACCCAATCAGTGGCCCTTCTACATTTATGCCTATCAGCATTAATACAGGAACATTCCCTGGAACACCAGCAGTTAGACTTATTGGGGACTGTCATTTCCTTCACAGACTATGCCAACTTTTGCTCTTTTGCTTTTTCTTTCGACGAACGCAACTTCCTCGCTATATGGGGGTTGCTAATAGAACTGCCGATGCAAATATACAAAAGCCTCAATCTAATGGACCTCCTCCTGGCAAGGTGGAGGAGGTTGCAAAACCAGTTTCAGCTGTGGTTAAGTCAGATGATGGTCAGACAGGTCGAGCTGGAGCAAAAGGAGGTGAAGAAGCACCTTCTGGACGTTCAAGATTGGGTAGTGGGAATGCTGGCCAAGGATATACGTTTGAAGAGGTATGCAGTCATAAACATTGTGAGTCTTATGACTTGAGGCTCATTTCTTTTATAATTTCTGTCTTACAGGGATTAGAAGTAGGGTGTAATTTTACTTTTCTCACTCACTCGCAATGCAGGTCAAGGTGCTTTTTATGATGCTTATGGATCTATGCCGCCGAACGGCAGGGCTGCAACATCCATTGCCAGTTTCTCAGGTGGGGAGCAGCAACATCCAGGTTCGGCTGCATTATATTGATGGAAACTATACTGTACTGCCAGAGGTTGTGGAAGCATCCCTTGGTCCACATATGCAGGTAACTGTTTTTCTCCTTTATCAGTTTCTTATTTCTGGGAGACAAATTAAACTAATTGTACTTGGTATTTCATGTAATTGTCTCAATTTTTTATGATATTTAATCGATGATAGTTTATGATTAAGTAGGCCCTAGAAAGTAGCTCAGTTACCTTTCTTTACATGAGGCTTCCTTTATAAAGCAAAATTTTATTTTATTTTTGTGATACAGCATTGTTAGATTATGTATGTTGAATATTGGAAGTTAAGCTTTTGATGTTTATCTCTCTTTTCTTCCTTCTGGATGTATGAACTTTTGATGGATGCTCCCTGCCAAAATGAAAACAAAAATGTACTTTGCAGAATATGCCCCGTCCTAGAGGTGCAGATGCTGCTGGTCTTCTATTACGTGAACTAGAACTCCACCCTCCAGCTGAAGAGTGGCATAGACGGAACATGTTTGGTGGACCTTGGTCTGATCCAGAGGAGGTGGATTGTACAAATGATGCACCTAAACTTATTTGTTCTGACCCACTGGATTTCAGCTCATTGGAGCATTGTGATGCCTACTATGGAACTCATCGCCTATGGCCAAGGAAGCGCAGGATGTCTGAAAGAGATGCAGCTTTTGGGTTGAACACTTCTGTGGGTTTGGGAGGTTATCTTGGTATAATGGGATCTCGAAGAGATGTTGTTACTGCAACATGGAAGACTGGCCTTGAAGGGGTCTGGTACAAGGTTTGAAAATAAATCCTGTTCATTTGTTTATATTATTTTCTGTAATTATGTACATTTAAGGGTTGCATAACTTGAAAATGGTTGTTATTTGTAGTTGTGCAATTTTCTGCAGGCCTAGGTAAACTACTCCCTCTGGTCCTTTTTATAAGGCACATTTTAGAAGGTTGTTCCAAGGCATTTTATAGTTTTTATGAAGCATTTTTATTATTTTTTCCTTTTGCCCTTAAAAAATGAAGTTGGTGGAAACCTAAATTAAAATTAATAAGGGTAAACATTAATAGTAGAGTTAGGAACAATGATATTAAATGAGGGTAACATTGTCATGTTTAATATTTTTAGAAGGTCAAAGAAATTAACTAATTTTAACTACTTTTATTAATTTGTGTAATTGTTTAAAGTGCCTTGTAAAAAGGACCTAAGGGGAGAATTTCTATAACCGATATTCAATTAAGGAATTTAAATTTTTTATTGTATTGGAAATTTGAATGAACATGTTGGGGAGATATAGATATATTTTATTTTAACTGTAGATAGACTTGTAACATGTTGTATAAACTCCTATAGGTTTTGAAAAATAATTCTTATCAATCAAGCTACTTCACAGAAGTAAAAAATCATGCACCAGCTTGAGATGGATCTAGGCTGGAAAGAAGGAATCGGTTAGGAAGTGCTGAACTGTACCTAACATTTTATTTAGGGGTTGGGGGACTAAACATTTGTATCTGTACCACTGAGTCAGAAAGATTTTGATAACAGGTTTATTAAATAATTGACCTAGAAATCAAGGTCTAACTTATTTCTATATCTGTAGCTATTGCCTTGATGTGTGAAAAGCAACTCTAGTTGAAATGAAGTGTAACCTCAGCATTATCTTTTACTTAAAACCACTTGTATCGGCTGTCAATGGCAATTGGGGTTAAAGTTTTTGATCATTTGATTACTGTACTTTTGATGCTATTACCTTGTGAATAGTGGTTGACTTTTTGGCAGCTTTTAAAACACTATTTTGTGTTTGGTCCAAGAGTTAATATATCTATTGTGATTTTTAAAGTCAGAAGAATCTTAACATAATTAATAAATAGCAAGTCTTTTAACTTTTTGATATTGTATTTGTGTTAATTATCATTATAAATTAAATAGAAGAAAAATTATGAAGTGCCAACTGATGTTATTGTTGATAGTGACTGAAAAATTTAAACACTTGTGTGTATTCTTCTACATTATCCATTAGTTTTTTCAATCTGACTGGAAGGGCATCTTCTATTTGGTGATTTTATTTACTTCCGTGGTGCAGTGCATAAGATGTCAGCGGCAGACTTCTGCTTTTGCTTCTCCAGATGCTGCTTCACCAAGTCAGAATGACCGGGAGATGTGGTGGATCAGCCGCTGGGTACATGGCTGCCCAATGTGTGGCGGAACATGGGTTCGGGTTGTATAGATGGCTTCGTTATTTTGTTTTAGTATGAGTTTCAAAGGGAGGGATGCATATATTTGTGGCTAACTGTGAAATGAATGATATGGAATGCTTATAGGAATTGTACAGCAGAAAAGGTGTAGATTTCCTTGACAAGTTTGTTGCAGCATGTTATTGTTGGTGGCCATACTATCATATGGATTTGAGTAGTTTTCCTGCTGATCACTACTGGTTTTCAATTATTTGAAATCAGTTCATTCAGATCTCAATTTTTTTGGGAATTATGCTCAAGTCACTCCACCAATAGGTGTTAATTAATCCCTGGGCTGTTTGTAGTTAACTCCTTGCAGGTATGTACTATCTTGTTTTGACTAATCTACTTTTTCTTTTTTTTAACAATATTGACTTATCTATATTTGAAATCACTAAAGTGCATCCCGTCATGAATGACATTTGGATTTTTTTTTTTTAACTTTTTGTTTGGAGAAAAAATTCAATCTGATTGTCCACGAGATGAAATTCTAACATTTATATTATGTTTTAAATTTACATTTGAACTTGTTAGAGCCACCATGTTATTAGTAACTTTCCCAAATTTCTCTGAGATAACTATTTACTCAAAAGCTATGTAGTTTTGTTTTTATAATGTACAATGCATTTACCGTGTGAACTAGTCATTATTATTTAGCTTTAGGTTTATATATGATTCTGGTCTCTAGAAATATTTACAAGTTTCTAGATCTATTTATTTCAAACCTTTTTAGTTTTGATCCCTATATTTTTAATTTTAGTTAGTCTCTACATTTTTTTGGCATTTTTTGTTTTGGTCCCTTTCACTGTGGCGGCTGCACAAAAAATTGACATGGCAATGGTGTCATCATTTAACAGTTATTGAGGATTAGAACTGTTGAGGTTTGAAAAATCAGGGACCACAAGAAACAAAAAATTGGAGGGACTAAAACAAAAGGCTTGCTAAAATGTAAGGGACAGAGACATATTTAAGCCTTAACTTTATATCTTAAGACATAATGGCCTAAATTTCTAAGTAAAATTATAAACTGTTAAGGCTAATAAGATGGAAGGCCTAAATTATTTTTGTGAAGCCCCAGTGGTTGTTTCTGGTATGAATTTTTCATCTGTTTCAAGATATGTTTTATTTCTTAGACGGACGTGGTCCATCATAAACCATTTAAGAAAAACAATGATAATACTTGAAATCCTGCACTTATGAAAAATGATAGAACAGAAAGTAGTGATGAAAAAGAACAAATGATAATATTCACAAATCAGTATGAGTACATATTGGTTTATATAGAATAGAAGTAGGAAAAATGGCATCCAGTTAGTTGCATCTAACTAAATGAGCATTTATTACAATCGAGAAATATAATTACTCCTATAACAAATTATTAGTTAAGAGGCTTCCTCTTCTTCATGTGTGCTGTCAAACACTTCAATTATTTATTATTTAAGTTCTTGGATTTTTACTGTTGACATTGTCCACTGTGGGACCATGTTCGCCCGAGACTTGAAATTAGATGGACAGTTGCGAAGTTATAACATTAAAATAACATATCTGTTGTGGAAAATGCATGAAAAATCAGTTGGAGGATCATTGTTTAATTAATTCTGTCTCCCTTCCTACCAAATAATGGCTTTTATAAACTACTGATTCGATAATGCAGATTGTGAAATTTATGTAAAAACACTAGTGTATGTGGTGTTTGATGCATGCTGATGTGGGATCCTTAGCTGTAAAGGATTACTGAGGTTGGTGCTGGTGAATGAGAGTTTAGGAGCCTATATTAGTTGTCACTCCCGAGAAAGCTCTGCATAAATGTCTCTTCAGCTGTATTTATAGTATTTAGATGATGCACCTTCACATTAACACCGTCTTTGTTCGTGACTAGCTGCCAAGTGGATTCCGTACTAACTTGAGTAGTTTGTCTGTTTGCCAGCAAAGCCATGTAATTGTTAGATTAGCACAGCAATTTATTATCTTCTCGTGATCCCTGTAAATTGATTAAACGTATTATTTTATTTATTCTTTTTTGTGTGATATTTAAATGCTTTTGTGATTTTGTTAACTTTTAGGATCTAAGTTTAGATATTTAAAAGTATTAAATTTTATTTAAAAACAGTATTTATCACATTAATGATACAAAAGCGGAATAAATATGTTTTTTTAATATAAAAGTTTATCACTTTTAAATAGCTGAGTTTAACAATTGGAGAGATATGAGGGAAAGAGACATCTTTTTTTTCCTCTTCTGTAAATGGGCTTTGGTTGGGTTTCACTTGAATTTTTGGAAGCTGAATTTTGTTATCTACAATGATTCTATTAGGCTTCAGTTTAATTTAATTTTTTGTGGAAGAGATAAAAAAAAAAAAAATTGGTTGCTTTTTTTAAATCTAAGTATTTCTCTCTTACAAATCATTAGAAGAATAAAATTGAATTGTGTTTGTTGAAATTTTTTTTTAAAAGAAGAGAAAAGAAATGTTGATTAGAAGAATAAAATTTGAAATGGCTTCAGTTTGATTAATTTTCAATTGTTTTTATTTGATTTAACAGTTTGAATATTACTTCTTTCAAATTCTTAATTGTTGCTGCAACTATTAACTAGGGAGCATCATTCTACTATTATCTTTCGTTATCATTGCAATTACCATCCAAAGTCTCTCAATATTATGTTCGACGTTAATATTAATATTATCGTTTTTTTATCTTAAAGTTCACTATTATTGTTATGTTATACCTCACTTTTGTTTCTGTTTTCATATATAACTAAGAAGTAAAATGCTATTTTTGTAGTTCGAATTTAAGATTTGCTATTAAAGTTTAAAAATTGAAATTAACATAAGTTTAAAATTAAATATATAAAATTAATTTTAATTTTTAAAATTTTCAAATTTTAAACCAAATAATTATACTAAATAAGTCATTAAAAAAATTAGTAATTATGATAAATAAATTTAGTTCATAATTATTTTAATTTAGGTTTTAAGAAATTCTTATTTTTTTAGTACTTTTAGAAAGTAGACAAAGCAATTTTATTATACGAGTTTAAAAATATATTTAAAAACATTTATTTTTCTTTGTTAATTAATTAAATAAAAAAATGTCAATAAATTTATTAAAGTGATAAAATATAAGTTAAATTAGTATATTGATTCTTTAACTTTTGATTTGTTTTAATTTGGTTTTTTATTTTATTTATTCATTTTAGTTTCTTAACTTACAAAAGTATTTAAAATAATTTTTTTAAATATTAACTTTATTAAAAAATTATTGTTCATCTTTATTTTTCTTGTGAATTATAATGAAAACACATTATATCTAAATTGCCTCTCTTCTTCTCTTTCATCTTTTTCTTTTTTCCCCTTCTTTTATCCTTCATTTAGACTTTTCACTTTTTTTTTCCTTAAAAAACATAATATATGCAAACAAAATTTAAGAAAAGGTGAAAAACAAGATAATAATGAGACAAAACTTCTATGATTTTTTTTTATTGTTCTCAAAACTTTTTTCTTTACTTTTTCATTATCTTCCTCCTCTTTTTCCTCATGCACTCTTCTATGATTTATTTATTTTACTTATGAATCTCCTTTTAATTGAATTTCTATTCTTACATTGTTATAAAATTATCAGTCGTAGCAATAATATGAAGAAGAAGTGTTGGTGATAAAATACCTTTATGCATGTTATAATGTGTTTATAAAGGTATTTTTATCGAAGTTTGTATTAAAGAAAACATGTTGATTGTGAAGATATAGCAGGGGTAAGAGAAGAAAAAAAAATTGAGAAAAAGAAAAAAGAAAAAAAAAATTTAAAGAGAAGAAAAAGAGAAAAATTATGAGACTTTGTCTCTTTTAAAATAGTCATTTGTATTCAACATTATTATTACTTCATTTTTTATCTTACAACAATGAGATACAACTAAAAGACCTATTAAATGTATCGTATTTTTGTTGAAATTTTCAAAGGAGAGAAAGGGAGGAGAAATAAGTTTTAGATATGTGAACGAAGGGTAAGAAAAAAAAAGAATTTTTTTCTAAAATATAATATATTTGTCATAAAAATGAAAGAAAATAATAATAACATTTTTGAAAAAAAAACTTATTTAAAAACACTTTTATAAGTTAAGAAATTAAAATATAAAAAATAAAATCAATAATTAAAATATTCTAATTTTATCTAAAATATATTTTCCATGCTTATTTTTTATTTATAAAACTTAATATTTTGGTTAAAAGAATATCTTTCACTTATCTACCAAACATTATAATAAAAATTTGTCATAAATAATATTTTTAAATTATTAGGATAGTATTAACCTTAACCGAAATACCAGTCTCCTTGCATTAAAATTGTTTATCAATAAAAAATGATTTTTACTATTTATTTATTTTCTCATTATTAAAAAAGAAAAACTAAATTACTTATTTTAAATAATATACATATTTTTAATTTAATATTTATTTATAAAAAATAAAAAATTATTTAAAAAACTAAGAAAATATACTAAAGCTAAAAAAAAAACAAAAACCAGAAGGTTATAAACCTTTTCATTTCAATCTATGTTGTTATTGTTTCACCGGGGGGAACTAATTTTTTTCTAAAACAAAAAATATCTTAAAAGAAAAAGTTAAAGTTGAAGTTAATTTAATTGAAATTTTGGAGTGCGGAGGAAGAAGGCAATTGAATTGTGGTGGTACCCCGAGAGAGAACCCTGATAAGTTGGAGATTCCATATCTGAATGGAAGAAGTGATCTGAAAGAGCATTTGAATTTGCATTTGGAAGTTGTGAAGAAGAAGAAGAAGAAAGGATGAGTACTCAGGGTCAAGGAGGATCTCATTCCCTCGCGTTTCGGGTGATGAGGCTATGCCGCCCTTCTTTCAACGTCGACCCTCCCCTCCGCCTCGACCCCGCCGACCTCTTCGTCGGAGAAGATCTCTTCGACGATCCCTCCGCTGCCCCCAACCTCTCCTCCCCCTCCGATTCCGATTCCGATCCCAACTATCGCAACCGCTTCCTCCTTAACCATTTCTCCGACTCCATGGGACTCTCTGGCCTCCTCGTTCTTCCTCAGTCTTTCGGGTTTTTTCTTCTCTTTCTCTCTCTTTATTTTTCTATTAATAATAATAATAATTATTAATTTCTATTCAATTGGCTTGGCGGTGATGCAGAGCCATTTACTTGGGAGAGACTTTCTGCAGCTATATCAGTATAAACAACAGCTCCACTTTTGAAGTCAGAGAAATAACCATCAAGGTCAGTTCACTCTATTGCTTGCTTCTTTTTGTCAATCAACTTTAAATGTTCATTATATTATACATACCCTAGGAAATCAAATTTAAATGCATTTAAGGAAGGAAATGGTTAGCTTTGTATGACTGTTGCTGCTGCGGGTCAATCACTCGCTGTTCTTGTTTCTAATTGTATTGTGCTCTGTTTGTTTGGGTGAGATTATTCAAGTGAATTTCCTGAGATAACTGCTGAAAGATCTCTTAATCATTGGTAGATCGCTGTGGGAAGACTTTATGGTGTTGTTTTGTTCATAGCACGACCTGTGTTTTTTGTTGGATAAAAGGACAGGCGGAATATTATTTTACCTGTGTCTTAAGTGGGGAATTTGAGCGCAAGAAATGAAAATTTTTTGTAATTGTCAGAATGCTGCATTTGTTTTTTGTTTTTTCCCATTGAATATTTAATTTACTCAATTATTCAAAACTCTGTAACTGACAGGCTGAAATTCAAACAGAAAGACAGAGAATACTTCTTCTGGACACTTCAAAGTCACCAGTTGAATCCATACGTGCTGGTGGGCGTTATGATTTTATTGTGGAACATGATGTGAAAGAGCTTGGACCTCACACGTAAGTTGTACCCTCCAATAATGTCCTCGGGTCAGTATTGGCATCAGTGCATGCTTGCATGTGGTTTTGTTTGGATATGCTTTGTTTCTCCTTTCTCTTGGTTTTATTTTTTTATTGATTTGATTGTGCACTGTCCTTAGGCTGGTCTGCACTGCATTGTACAATGATGGTGATGGTGAGCGTAAATATCTTCCTCAATTTTTCAAGTTCATTGTTGCTAATCCGCTTTCAGTTAGGACAAAGGTAATATCTCTTTCTTTGTTAATCATATTGAATGAGTTTGAAGGACTTCTTGTTCTCAAATCAAACAAATATATAATGCCTGAGTCATTGAATGCTCACTAATTGATCTTTCTGTATTTACATGACTTATGTGCTTGTTGAAAACTTTTTGCAGGTCCGCGTTATCAAGGTACGTTGATGATTTGAATATACTATTAAAGTGTAAGTAAATGTTTTTTTCAAGATAAACATGCTGGTCTTAATGCAGTTAAAAAGTTACATTGTGTTCAATGTGTTGTATCTTTCTGTTTTTGTTCAAGGTTCTAAGATTACATCATCTGAATTAATTGGATCAGTATTATTTGCATGTTCACATTCTTAAAATGGAAAAGCATGATAACATTTCTTCTTCTAAAACTCATTTGTATTAAATCAACAATAAATTCCATAATAGCATTATAGTTTTCTCCATGTTTCCTCGTGTCAAACATCTTGTTGTCCAAAGCTGCTAAGATCAATAAAAATCAATAACAAAAACAACAACCAAACCTTATCTTACTAGGTGAGGTCGCCTATATGAATCACATGACGCCATTAAACTTGGTCAAAAATCAAATTTTTAGAAATCAAGTTAACCAAAAAGTCTTTTGTAATAACTTCATCTAAGATTCTTTTGGATCTCTTTCGACCTTTTTTTAGTGGACTATAAGTTATAGAATCTACTCTCCTTACTTGTGCCTTCAAAAGTCTTCTCTGCACGTGATTAAACCATCTTAAACAATTTTCAGTATGTACTACTCCAAGTTTCTCTCATATACTATCATTTCTTATCTTGTTCTTTCTCATTTAGACACTCATTCACCTTAACATTCTCATTTTTTCGACTCCTATCTTCTTCTTGTATTGTTCCTTAAGATCAATAAAAATCAATTCAAAGAAATGGAATATCTTCTTGATAAATGATAATGAATATGTGCATAACTGTATATTTGTATTTTTGTCATTTCAATCTTATCCCCTTTATCAGCTTCTTTTAATTTTTCTTGACTAGATGCTTTCAGCAATGAATCTGGTACAGCCAATCATAAACAGCATGCTTACCATCTATATTTTCACATCCATTTAAAATATCTGTTTTTTTATCTTACAAAAACCTGTTGCTGAATCGTTACTACAATACTCTTGGTTTTTGCAAGTATTTATTGGCTTTCTTTTTGAATGTATAATTAAATAAGGTGAGGAAGGTATCTTGCAAATCTATTATTTCATGAACAATGATACAGAAAAACCACAAGTTATACAAACCTTAAAATCTAAATGTTTTCACTTTTTGTAATTTTTTATTCATGAATACATGATGGATCTTGTGTTATGAATTATTTTATTATTTTATGTAAAAATCAAATATAACTTGATTAGTAGATATGCTTAAGTAAAATACTTAACATATTTGAACTCCAGAAATTGCATAAACATATTCCGTATGTTCATTTGTTTGAGCTTTGTCACAGCTCTATCCTTGATTTTGGATTGATGTTTAGTCATTCACGTCTTTTTGAACCAAATTCTCATAATCAATCAAAATACTATCTGAGGGGCTGTTTGGTTTAATTTTCTTTTTTAATTTTCATTTGATATGTTTTTATTAATAATTATAAAATTACCACCTCGTTTTTGTTTTGTTTCATGGTTTAGGAAATGGAAATGGAAAAAATAACATTCCCCATTTTTCCACAATTTCCTTCACAAAATGTTGAAAACCGGGAATAAAATGAAAAACAAGGTACTCATTTGAAATTATCAATGAATACATAGTAACTTCAAATGAAAAAAGATACGAACCAGACACTATGTTCTTTAACCTTTATTCTTTAAAATATTAACCCCACCTTTTTTTAATTTTTCCAGAAGTTTTGACATGTTAAGGTATCCCTGATTATAGACATACATATTTGCAAGGGATTTGTATGTTATCAGCATTTCAGTGGGAAAAAAACCCATGCTTGGAAATAATATTACCTCAATAAACTAGAGTGCCTGGCCCTGCCTAATATTGTGTATCAAGTTATCTACTTGATTCATTTCAGGAAGCTACCTATTTGGAAGCTTGTATTGAAAACCATACAAAATCAAACCTTTTCATGGACCAAGTTGATTTTGAACCTGCTCAGTATTATAGTGCAACAATACTTAAAGGTGACGGGCACCATTCTGAATACGATAGTCTTACAAGGTCAGTGCTATGTATTCCTTTTGGAGTGAATCATTGTAAAATTCAACAGCATCCAAATTGTGGCCATTATTTTCAGTTTTTTTTTTTAGTAGTTAATCTAGTTCAATTACATTTTATTATTATTGTCATTGAATATAAAGCAAATTAAATTCAGGGAGACATTTAAACCGCCAATACTAATTAGATCCGGTGGAGGAATTTACAACTATCTTTATCAATTGAAATCATCATCAGATGGTTCTGCTCAAACAAAGGTTGAAGGAAGTAATGTTCTTGGTAAACTCCAGATAACATGGCGAACAAATTTGGGTGAACCAGGTCGCCTGCAGACCCAGCAAATATTGGGGACTGTAAGTGTTTTTTTTTCCTTGAATAATGATAGTCAATAGATGTATTAGTTATCTTGTTTGTTCATTTAGCCTCATTAAATATCAGTAAACAATGACAAAGCTGATGGTTAGACTTCTTCAGTTCCTTTTTTCTGAATTCTGCATAACATGCAACTGAATCTAGTAGAATGTGTTTCCTATTTCCCTTTCACTTTCAAAACAATAATTCATGACATTTTTAATGTTCAAATACTGCTGGATGCATGTTAAATTGTTACTTTATAAAATTTAATGCATTTAAACCTCCTACCCCCTGAAATATGCCTTCATTTTTCTGTATTATGATTGTTTACTTTTCTAAAACACAAGTATTTTTTTTCTGGAAATATTTCTTTGCAGCCGACAACAAAGAAGGAGATTGAGTTGCAAGTTGTAGAAGTTCCATCCGTAATTAACCTTCAAAAACCTTTCATGGTAATTTATAATCCATTGCTTTGCTCTTTATGCTATTAATTATATATAAACTAGAAACTGTAGTCTAGGTTTCTGGGCCATGGATCATTTTTATGCTTTGTAGCAGGCTAGCAGCTGTCATTTGAATCTAGTCACCATCTTAGGGAAAAGGGATAGCTATTCCTGATCACATTATACTTTTAATCTTTTAATTTTATTGTACTAACAGGAATTAGCAAAAATTTGCTGAAGTTGATTACTTGTTTGCAGCTGAAACTGAATCTTACAAACCAGACAGATAGAGAGCTGGGTCCGTTTGAAGTTAGCTTTTCTCAAAATGGTTCATATGGGGAGAGAGTTGTTATGATTAATGGCCTTCAATCAATGGTAATCCATTTTGTCTGAATTTTCTGTCTTAGATTGTCAACATGATACCTTTATTTTTCCCTGGTAAATGGGGCTCTTCTAGTATCATAATTTCTATTTGGAGTATAGATATTGCCATTGCACAATCATAATGCTTGAATTTTGTTGATGTTGGAATCTATGTACAGGTTTTATCACAGGTAGAGGCTTTAGGGTCCAGAAATTTCCACCTGGTATGACTTAAAGGAATTCTGCTCTTACATTATCAAATATCTTTGGTAATAGTGTCAAAATTTTGAAATCATATTACCAAGCAGCATTTAATCTGCTTCTGGCCTACTTGGTAAAATTTTTTCATTTATAACCATCTGCTTTTTTTCATCAAATAAAATCTTTTTTTTCTCCAAATTGCTGTTATCATGGCAGCCTCATTTGTGGATTAGTCACTATTAACCTTCTGGTATCTTTTCACTCCTTAATGAGTTGGGTCTTCTGGATTCTGATGCAACAAAAACTCAAAAAGTGCATCTATCTGTCTTTATCAGTGGGGAAGGTTTATGCCTGGACACGTCTATGTAGTTTTCGTCTATCATTGATTATGAGACACTCCTATATTTAGAATGATTGGGGATATCCTCTACATTGATATTGCTTGTTTGTAGTTTCTTTCTTTCTTTTTTAAATGGGGGAAGTGTTACTATTGTCTGATAGAAAACCATCCATCACAAGGGCGTATGCTAGGAAAAGTAAGATGGAAAGTAGAGGAACTGAGCTTCATGCAGTAAGTGTGGGAAACATGCAAAAGAATATGCTTTGGGATTTACGTTGTGCTAACATGGCATGTTGGGGCAGGATTAGTTGAGAGAACATTCGGTTAGCAAGGGGACTAAAGAGGGAATCATGACAGAAGGGGGATTGGAATTCTGAGTGGGAAAATGGTGGGAAGAGAGGCAGCAGATCCCTCAAAGGGTCTGAAACCATTTTCATTCTGTTTTCGAGTGTTTTGTTCATCTATATGAAGTGTGATAGCTCTTTTGGATTCTGATTTCTGCAAGACCAGTTGTTGGAAGAGTATTCTTCTTGATAATTTAATAAAACAATCTCTATTCAATATACATTTCTATCATTATCATCTCTGGCCATTACGTAATACTGGTTTACCTATTTAGGCCTCATCTTCCAGGATGTAATATAAGACACGTAGAAGTAGTTGATGATAATATGAAGGGAGAAAAAAAAAACATTGCAAATTACAATTCAGTGCATTGATGGGTTGCGTCTTTACTATTTACAAATATGCAGAATCTCATAGCTACAAAACCTGGAATTCAGAGAATTACGGGCATTACTGTTTTTGATACTAGTGAGATGAAATCTTATGAACCACTTCCTGATTTAGAGGTTAGTTCAAGTTCCTTATGATCAATTTTCTATATCATATTTGACGTGGCCTTTGCCTTCAAACCCCAAAAGCTAGGATAACATTCTGACTTCTCAAGTTGTTGCAGATTTTTGTGGACATGGATTAAAATTGTGGCAACTGCAACCAGTTTGGTCAGAAGTGGTTGACAATGCCATATTTTCAGAACTTTGATCTGCTGTTATCTGCAGTTAATGTTCTGGGTCATCAATGTGCCTAGTCAGACCTACTAAATCCCCAATTGGTGACTCGCTGATGCCACTAGACTTAGATTCCCTTCCAGTTAGGACCAACGAATCCTGCATGATCATCAAAGCATCGTTGGACTAATTGCAAAGTTCTGTAACTAAATTGGAGTAATGAGTGGTTGATTATGTGCTGATAGGGAAAGTCCGTGCTTTTACTGGTTCAAGGAGCTCAGTTATTTTGATTGTCATTGAAAACCAAACCATTGTCACAATATATTTATCCAACTGCTTAATCATCATCCCTATAGACGGTTTACATCGCAGTTTTTCTCTTATTGTAGTAACTGGTCAACTATACTGATGTCTCTTAAAGACAGAATTTTATTCATTATAAAAAACTTTATCATTTTATTATGGGTTTACAAAAGAATTGAAGAAGTGTAATGCTATATACAATCCAGAAGAGCAGGGATCCAGCTCAAACTGTGCATATTAAAATAATTTATGCAAGCCTAATGGTAGATCATTCTGATTCCGAATCAGAAATTACTTGAATAAGAATATCTATTTCAACATACGTAAGGTTATATTTCAAAAAATAACAAGGCTTTTGGCTTCTAATTAATAGCTTAAATTTAAAGAAGTTTATTGTATGAAATCATCATATCATATCGATATAAATATAAAATCTGTCTCTAAGATTATAAACCCAGCATGTCTTTCGATTTGCTTTACATAATTTAAAAATTTAAAAAGAATTTTGAAAGTAAAAAACTATTACCTGACTCTCAAGAGTCAGTTCTCTTTGTCTTTCACAGTTTCACTCTTGCTGACGTCTGATCCGTAATTCTATTTATGCAAGTACTGCAAAAAATAATGCGAAAGATAAAAAGTGTTCCTCGATTGTTAAAAATTAAATAAAGCTTAAGTTTAATTTATATAATAAAATTCATAGTATTCATTTTATTTTTTCTTATTTTATTCATAAATATATTTCTTTTTTAAATTTAGTCACATAAGATAGAGTCAAAACCAGATATTAGTGAATCGTTTCCGATAGTAACATTGTGTTTGAAATATAAAAGAAAGAATTGATATGATTTATGATTCAAAGTTTATATATAGAACATTAAAAAATAATAAATGGTTTAATTTTTTATGTTTTTTTATATTTCTAGGCTCTAGGTAATTTTTTTAATTTAATTAAAATATTTCTATACAGTCAAATGTCATATAATTAAAAATTAATTTTTATAATAAATTTAAAAAACATATTTAAGGTAATTACAACTAGTTGAGAACAAAAAAATAAATATTGACAATATATCAAAATTAAATTAAAATTTCTCATCAAACCCGACTTATTCTATAAATCTATAATCCACATTATGTGAATGATTTTCTCCTTGCCAGTTTCGTTACGACATGAGAAGGACACAAGAATAACATTAATGATACAAAATTAAACTAAACTTACTATAATTTATGTAGCAAATAACCAAAGTCATTTTCAACTTACAGTCATGAATATGTTGTATACACATCTCAATGGAACCAAACAAGGTAAAAGAAAAAGAAAACTTCCTAAAAGAGCTGATAACAGAGGAGTCAGCTCCCATTATATTATGTTGCTAACAGCATTAAAAATAAAATAAAATAAAAAAGTTGTTTATATATCTTTCTTTTTTTTGGGCCACGTCTTGGATCATAGTTAAACGAATCAGGCTTGCGAGCCCCAAGCAGCCCAATTGGCTTCACTTCCAACACGTGGCATCACTGACTTCTTTGATTGGTTGTCGACAAGAAAGTTGGCCCCACACATAATCCCCTCGCTATCAACTCTATGCATTGCCTTCATCTTCTTTGTAGGATGCTCGTAGCTCATAAGACCGTGTTCACTATGAAACATACACCCTACAATTTAATTCAACACCTTTCATGCATTATTTTCCAAACAAAATAATTATAATCCATATAGTTCCTATGCTTCTATAATTCTATTAGTTCCCAATCAATATTACACTTGTGTTATTATTGAACTGATTTCATTTAATTAAAAACTTGTTGCTTTAAACAAATGTTCTTAATCAAAGCTTCAGTATTTAAATTCTAGTTATGAATGACATCTCAATAGAGCACAATAGAATAGAAAATTAGAAATATCCTTTATGTGCTCTCCCAAAGCTAAATTATACTCAACCCAGTCGTTTTTATAGTAAATAAATAAATAATTTATTAACATAAAATAAAAGTAATCATATGTTATAAATTTATACTGTATATCAAAAATATCTGTAGCATTAAACGGTCAAATTAATAACTTAATGAGTAACTACATACATTTTATATGAGTGACACTGAATATTGTTAATACTAAATTTTATAGATATAAAAAGAATTTAATAATTAATATATTTAAAAATAAGTTTTTATTTTTTTATAATTATTTAAAGTAGTTTCTTATGAAAAGAATAGATGGAATAAAATTGTTATGTTGCAATGGAAAGAGAAACCAACTTCAACTACCAGTGGGAAATGGTGCAAATGATTTAGCACAACTTGTTTTTATAAGCTCCAAGTTTTCAGAAATAACTACAGAACCATCAGCTGCAATACCCCAGAAAAGTCCAATCTGTCCATTAGAACCCTGCTCAAACACAACATGCTGGATATTAGCACTGGGAGGAATCAATTATTAACATCATCATGTACATTATTATAAAATCTCACATTTCCTCTAATATATCTAAAATTGTGCATGTAGATAGATTTAGAAAGGTCTTACTAATGCAATAAAAACTGTTCCATCCTTGTTGTCATAGATCACAAATCCAAAAGTGCCTTCAAGTTCTTTAAGAACCTGATCAGCAGGGTAAGGACCCCTATCACGAAGTGTCCTATAAGCTTCAATGATAAACATGGCCTCATTGGTTCCCTTTGATAGACCATACTGCTTGATGAGTTTACTTAGGTTGTTTAGGCTCCCCAAGAAAGTGCAATATATGTCATCCAAAACACAAAACCTGTGACATACCTTTTGTATGAGAAATTGAACTTACTCAATGCACATATATACACTCAATTCATTTTGAAATTTTAGATCCAATTCATTAACTCTCACTGTTATGTGCACATACCCGTTATGCATTATGGAGGGCTTGTTTGAAGGGGAATAAGCTAATAAAGCATCATTTCCAAAGTTCAAGGAGAAAGCATTAGAGGGATTGTAGGATAGAAATTCCTGAAGGATTTCATTTGGAGGCATAGACTTTTTAGATGAATTCAAAGAAGCTGGACTATTCAGCTCTTGGGGTGGATTTACCAATTTCTCCTTGAAGATCCCCAACATCTTTGCCTCTGCCCTTGATTCTGTGTTCCCTTCCAACGTCACCACTTTCTTTTTTTTCCCTCCTCCAAGGAGTTTATAGACTTTATCAATGAAATGAACCAGTATCAATAGAGCAATTAGCTGCAAGTACAACATCAATTCTCTGAGCTATTGAACAACGTGCAATCATACACAGGGAAGGAAGAGAGAGATAGAGAAAAATAAAATAAAATATAATATAATAATTTACCAAAATAAGCAATCAAAATAGCTTCAGATAGAGAATGTGATTCTGATAGCCTTAGAAAACGGACAGTGAAAGGTAGAATGAGTCATTCATAGTATGTGGCTAAATATATATAGGGAATGAAAGATAGGAAGAGAGAGATTATGTCTAGCTGGAAGGTTTATCCAAATTGACAAGTAGGTATGCGACCTAATATATAAAAAAGTAATATATTGTTATTAGACAGATCACCAACAACTATTATGTTATTAATAGAAAATAATGGTTGATGCCCATTTTAAATATTGCTTTGCAGAAAACAGATTTAAATTGGGACACGTGTGTGTGTGTTGTACATTAGTTACGTATTTATTTGTATACTTGTATTCTTTATCCATTTCTGTTTACATTTATACCAAAAATTAGCTTCCTTTAAGTAAAAAATAATCTACACACACAGAGGAAGTAAATATAGAAATAACCATGCCTTATTTTAATTTACAATGAGAAATGGTATCTTTTTTATATAAATTCATTAACAAATCATGTTGTATGGTTTTGTTTAGTTTTATTACTATTTCTTTAATAAATAATGTGTGTGTTTATGTGTTGTGTTGGTCAATGTAATCATATCTATAGCTCAGTGTTTCACAGTTCAACTTATCCGCGTAGCCAACAAAATATGAGAGGGATCCGAGTCAGAACGTGCAATATTTTCAATCCTTAAACGTCGAAAACTGTGTGTACTTTGACTATGGTACTTGTGGTTGTGTTTCTCCCACCCACAGATTCTGTCATTTTGATTTGTCTAAGATTTTGAATTTTCTAATAAAGTAAGTAAAGAGATTTTGATCTTAGATGTTTGATTAGAAATTCATATAATTACATAAGTATATTGATTTTGTATTATTTGAAAATTCAATCAAATACTATGTCAAATATGTTTTTAAAGTTTTCTTTTCTGAAATACGACTTACTAAAGAATAAAGATAAACTATTTTATTAAAATTGAACTTTATCAATTTAACTGCTTAATTAAAAAAAATATAAATTAAATTAATTTTATAAAATTTACTTTCGAGAAAAATAATTGAAGATTTCATTTGATATATAAATATATGAGAAGTTAAATTACATCAATATAAACTATATTACTTTTATTAACTTTTTTATCAAATAATTTTATCATAAAGTCAATCATTGAATTTAAAATTTCTATTATATAAAATTTACAAAATTTCAAGTAATTAAAAATTATTTAATATTTATTCATATACACTAAAATCAACATAATATATATTTTTAAAAATATATAAAAGTAAAAGTTATTTATTCTCAATCTTATAGTAATTCAATTTTTAACTAAATTTGACACAAATAACTAATGTAATACAAGAATACAGTTTAATGGTAAAATAAAAATTATATTTGACACAAAGTTGAGATATTGATCAATTGATCCGATTTATTGCAAACAATAAAAATTTTATTCTAAAATATAAAACTGAATAAACCCAAAAATAAAAATAAAAATTATTGATTGCATTTCAAATTCCATTTTAAAAAACTGATCTAATTCAAGCCAACTTTGTATGTGTAATTAACATTTTACACATACTTTAAGATTATATATTAACAGAAGTATAGTATTTAACTATTTTTATGGTTTTAATTTAAATTTATACTATATTATTATTTTTAAGAATACATTTTATTTTTCTTCATGGTTATATTAAGTATTTTTTTAATAATTTAAATTATTCTTGTATATTATACATTTTTATACAAATTTTATGTTGTACATAAAAATTCACTTTATTAAAAAACAATGTAGCAAAATGATAAAATTAATTTTTAAGATAAAAAATAAATCATCCAATTTAATTCAAACCACTTTTAATTGAATTCAAATTAATTTTGTTTAAATTAACCCAAACTAAACTAGTATAAATTATGAATATATCAGATGGTTTTTTTATTTAAAAATCAATCAGTCCAATCTACGAACATCTCTAGCCCAAAGCACTAGTTAAAAAGTAAAAATATATTCACTTTTATATTTATTAATTTTTTTGACTTATTGGTTTAGCAAAATTCATAAAGCTATTATCGTTGTTTCATGCCCCCCTTTTGTATAATATTTGATTATAGAAATAAGTATTTATATATGAGGCTAAAAAAGATTTTTATTCCCTTTGATAAATAAAAATTGGTAGTAGGGTTTAAATAGTAATTAAGTTACTTAAACGTATGATAATAATAATAATAATGTAACAGTGGTAGGTAAGTGGTTGATTGTTGGGTGTTGTGGCAACAAAGTGATGGGAGGTATATTGGGAGGTGCGTGTGTTGAATCAGAATGATAAATCTTAATTACTGGGATGGTAGATCCGAATGTAGTTGCCACATTTATGAACAATAATTGTGGTCCCTTACCACACCCTTGCACTTGCACATTCATCTCTTCAACCTATTCATATCCATATTAACTCTTTTTTATTCTTCATCCAACCTCTCTTTCATTTTCGACTGCAAATTATACTCATTAATTTTGTGGAGTCATGTGAATGATTGAAGTTACGCTAAATATTTTTAGTGTAAATTTGACTTCTATGTATTAAAAAAATATTTAAGTGAGTTAAATTTAAAGTTTAAATTTGATTCAATCATTTATTTATACTTTTTTTTACAATCTTTCAATAATTTTTTATTAATTTAGCATTTAATAAAAATTTATGCTTAAAAAATTAAATAAAATATGATTTTATTTATAGAAATATGTAGTAAAGTTAAAAATAATTTTTTTATTATGAAAATAATATTTTAAAAAATTATAGTTATTTTTTTAAAATATAAATTTTAAAAGTTAAAATTAGATAAATTGTGTGTGTGTGTATATATATATATATATATATATATTAAACATGCAAAGTATGAATTTTAAATTTGGATTATTTATTATTAAATAAATAAGTTAAATTGAGTATTTAATAAGTCAAAATTAAATAGTTCACAAACAATTCAAATTATTTACACTAGCATTAGAATTTAACAATTAGCTTTACCTTCTTTTAACTTTTATATTTTTTTTCATTGTCTTTTAACTTTTAATAATTTTAGTTTAGTCTTCTAATTTTTTAAAAAAACAAGTCCTTTTCATTAAAAGCATTAATTCTATTAAAATTTATTATCTTTTCATTATTTATCTTTTGCTTCATATTCATATTCATGTTTTATTTTTCTTTTTATTTTTCTTCTTTCTCATCTCTCTCTTCCTATCCTTTTTCTTCTCTCACATTTGGTTGAAAAAAGAAAGAAAAATAAAGAAAAAGTCAAGAGGACAAGAAAAAAGAACACCAAGCATAAAAAAGAGAAAGAGCGGAAGAAAAAGAAAAAAATTTAAATTTTAAAAAGAAAATGAATAATGTGTGATAAAAAAATATAATTTTTTTAATAAAGTTAATATTTTTAATCTATATATATATATATATATATATATATATATATATATATATATATATATAAACGTTTTAAAAAAATTAAAGGGGCATTTAACTAAAATACTCACATAAACAACAGTTCTAGTTTTCGTCAAGATTACATTTCCGGAAAGCAAATGTTATGCCTTTCTATAAACTACGTAAATATTTGATTACCCAATTGTTTATTCTCATATCTACGTCAATTTTCTAACATTCAAATATTGTCTGCTTTATGTGTGGTGAGAGGCAAGAAAGCAGCTAGGAATGTCAAGTTGCATGCCCTCGTTCTGGCTTTTATTACACTGCATTGATAAATGACTACTTTAGAAGAATTTACAGTGGTAAAATTGTGTTTTAAAATAAAAACATAATAATTATTTTTAATAATGTTTATCACTTTTAATTACTTACAATAAGCTAATAGTTCATACTATTACTTCATGATAAATTGTGTTAATTCAAGCCACATGCCTTTAGCTTCATCCCTTAACGTTAGTAAATGCTAAAAATAGCTCATATATCACATCAAATGACACCTTGAATGTCATGTGGATGTAAAAAAATGTTTTGGCTTGAACATCTTTTCTCCATCATTTTTTTCTTCCATGATAAATCTTAGCAATCTTCATCTTCTGTAAGTTCAAATTTAAAAGAAGTATTGGAGTTTCCTTAAGAAGCTTGATTTCCCCTTCTTCCATAATTGACCTCCATCCACTATATTCATTATTGTCATATATAGATGGCTAATGGTGGGAACCCCATTTCCCTTTGCTCCATAATTGAGCTTCATCCATCAAGTTACAATATCATAAAAATGCACAAAAACTTAAGAATGCAATAGCAAGTTTATTTTTGTGGTGAGAAGCGCTATAGATTATAGAGAAAATAGTTTTAAATAATGAATTCACAAAATACAATATTACGTACTCCATTATTGAAGCTCTTAGTAGTCAAGGCAAATATCAATAAACCATTGAACACCAAAAAGACTGCTATGCTAACTCAAACACTAATTTGTACCATTATCCAAAATGTGCAATTTGAAAATGCATTTATAAATGCGCAATTTTGAATCCAATCCAAAATATTTTGGTAAAAGTTTTTTGAGACAAAAAGTACATGTTATAACGAACTCTAAACTTTAAATCTGCAATGCATCATGAATTTAAAACAAAAGTCCCTATAAAACATGGAGAATCCTCATTTTGCACTCACCCACCATGGTTGGCTATCCACCATGGTATGTGTTGATAGATTTAGAATTGTAGGGTATCCTTAAATGGTGACCAAGCTAAGCAAGTGTTTCTGAGATTAGGTTCTACCAAATTTCAGCTACCATTAACACCATTTTGCCTAATTGCATGCACTAGGCTACTACAACAGAGATGAGGGTTTGGGAAAGATATTCATGGCTACATTTTGGTGACTAGAATGAAGAAAGAAGAAGAAAATTATATTTTATTTCCAAAAAATACATTTTAATTGCAAAAGAATTAAAGAAAATTATTACAATTTAATATCAAAACTTTCATATTACATGTACACAAAAATATTTTTTATTTTTAATATATATACATTTTTTTCTCACAAACCATTAAATAAGATGACATAATCTTATATG